ACACACACACATACATACATACAAATGCACACATAACAATGACAACCACCATGAGTCTCCGCTCCCCTCTCCTTCGCTCCTCCCCGCTCCCTCTTCCCCCCGCTCCCTCTTCCCCTCTGCCTCCCGCATACCTGCTGCAGCTCCTCGCGCGCCTCAGCATCCAGGTCGTCCGCCATGTTTCTCCGGTAAGAGTCAAATGGCGACGACTGGGTTTGTGGCTCCTTTTGCCCGGTCCTCTCGGTCCTTGCCCTCGGCGCGCAAGGAAAACCAATCATTACTGCTGCTTGCTACTACGATGGCCGACTGCTGATGAACGGCGATGATACGTGTGGGATTGGAGAAGGCATGGGCGCGGGCGGAGTGCTCTCGTGTCCATGGCTGCCGTCGGCGGTGGCCATCTTCTGCTGAAGCAGTGCGGAGCGCTCGGCACGGAGTTGGGCGGCCTGGTCATCGAGCTCAGCTGCGCGAGCCTCGGCGCGTTTGGTATCAGCGGCAGCGGTATTTTGCGCCTGGAGCGCAGCAAGCCGGAGCGACTCGAGCTCAGCCCGCTCGCGGGCGAGAGCATCGCGCTCGGCGCGCAACTCAACTATCCGCTCCGACGACGCCGCGAGCTCGGCCCTCTCGGCTGCCAGCGCAGCCTTGCCTGCGGCGACTGCCTTGTGCTCGGCGAGAAAGTGCGTGTGCTGCTGAACGAGCTGGTCCTTGGTTGCTGCCAGCTTCTCACGCTCAAACCGGAGCGCTGCCCGCTCGGCCTCGATCTGATCGCGGTCGGCGGCGAGCGAGGCTCGTGACGAGGCCGCCTGCTCGTCGGCGGCCTCAAAAGCAGTTTTGGCGGCCTCAAGCTGAGCCTTTTCGCTTGCCAGCTGCGCCAGCTTGTGCTTCATCGACGCCTCAAACGCGGCCTTGGCGGCCTTGAGCGCCGCAGACTCGGCAGCAACCTTGTCCAGCGACGCCGAGACCTCGGGCCGTGCCGCCTCGAGCTGCGCCAGCTGGACCGACGCTTCCTTCATCCGCGTCTCAAACTTGGTCTTACGGTCTGCAAGAATGTCGGCCTCGGTCTGCAGCCGCACGGTCTCAGACATGACAAATCGCGACTGCGCTTCGTAGTGCTGCCGCTGCGCAAGGAGGTGCTCGCGCTGCTCGTGCACCAGGGCGAGCTCGTGCTTGAGTTTGGCATTCTCCTCCTCCATTGCCCGCCGCGATACCGCGACCAGGTCGGCTTCGCCGGCGAGCGCTACCCGTTGCGCCTCGAGCTCAGCAAGCAGCTTCTCGTACTTGGTCCGCGCCTGCAGATGTGCCTCGCGGTCGGCAGCGGCCTTGCTCGAGCTAGTCACCACCGATGCCAGTAGCTCTTGCACTTGGGCTGACGCTGCCGACGCCTTGTCCTCAGCTTCGGCTCGCTCGCGCGCCAGCAGGGCCCGAGCCTCGGCTAGCTCGTGGGCTTCCGTTTCGAGCGCGGCTTCTCTCGCTGCGAGCGCCTCGACGTGTGCAGCGGCTGCATTCTCCCGATCAAGAGCCTCGCGCTCGGCGGCTTGCGCTCGTTCTGCGGCACGCAGAGCCTCGGACCGCTCGCGTTCGGCGTCGAGCGCGGCCCTGTGCGCCTCAACCTCGGCGGCAGCCACGGACTCTTGCTGTGTGTGCAGCGCATGGCTCTGCTCATCCAGCGCTGCAAACTTGGCTTGGATGTCTGCAGCCCGATCGCGCATGGCCGCAGACGCCGCCTCCACCGCCTCCTGCTCGCGTAGAAGCACCTCGCGCGCTTCGGCCACCTCGGCCGCCGCCAGCTCGAGCGCATGCTCTCGGGTCGCGAGCGAGGCATTGCGGGAAGCTAACTCGCGCTCGGCCACATCTTGCTTGGCCTTCCATGCCTGCTGCTCTTCCCAGAGTGCGTCGCGGTCAGCGGCAAGCTCATCGCGGGCAGTGGTGGCTTGCTCGCGGGCGGAGTTGAGCGCTGCACGCAGCGACGCCAGTGCGCTTCGGTCGGATGCGATAGCTGCAGCAGCAGCTGATGCTGCCTTGGTGTCCTCGGTCGCCCGCGCCGCCGCCGCCGCCGCGCGTGCAGCTTCGTTGAACACGCGTCTCCGCTCTAGCTCCAGCTCGTGGCGCTGCGCCCGCGCCTCCAGCCTCTGGCTGTGGAGATCTGCGGTGGCGACAGCAATGGCGTCGCGCTCGGCTCGGGCACCAGCCACTGCGCGCTCGCGCTCGCGCAACGCCATCGCCCGCTGCGTCGCGAGCTCTTCGGCTTGGTGCTGGAGCGCAGCAGCACGGGTGTCGAGAGCTGCAGCTGCGGCCTCGTGCTCAATCTCCCGCTGGCTGAGGTCGGCGCTTCGTTTGTCGCATGCGGCTCCGCGCTCGGCGAGCTCGTCGGCTCGGCGGCTGAGCTCAGCGTCTCGCTCGGCGGCATCGGCCTGTGTCTGAGCCAGCAACGATTCCGCCGCAGCGCGAACCGTTTCAGCGTGAGCAAGCTCGGTAGCTGCGGCCTCTTTTGTCTCTGTGGCATTTGCGAGCGCCTCGTCGATAGAGGCGCGGTCGAGAAATGCGGCGTCGACAGCGGCCTTTTCGGCGTCGAGTGCAGACCGCTCGGCGGCGATTCGCTGGCGCTCCTCTTCCTCGGCAATGAAACGAGCTGTGCGCGCCGCTGCTGCTTCAGCGGCGGTGGAAGCGGCGACAGCGTCAGCGTCAGCATCGCTAGTGTGCAAGCTCTCGTTGTCGAGCGAGGCTAAGACGTGCGACTCGGCGGTGCCAAGTCGGACGGTGTGTGCCGCCTTGAGCGACTTGGTACGCCATGTACGCAGCACATCGTGGTGGGCCGGGACGTTGAGCGCAAGGACATCATCCCACACTGCCACCAGGGCATTGCGCTGCTGCCGCCAGGCCTCGACATCGACCTCGTCGCCGTGAACGGCAGAGCAGGCGAGGATCAGCGCCTCGCCGTCATCGACCACCTTGCTTGCCGCATCCAGCGCCGCATCCAGTACACCTCCCACCGCGAGCGCAAGCGCGTAGGTCGAGCCTGCATCCTTTGCAGCCACGACGGGATCAGGCGCATCCGCCGCTGCCCCCGCCTCATCGTTTGCCCACATCTTGAGCAGCCTCAGCTCATCGCGGACAACGGCAGCGATGTCCAGAAACGTGCCCAGCTCACCATCTTCATCTCGGCCACATGTCAGCAACTCCTGCCCATCCCCCATCCGTCCATCCGTCCGCCGCATCAACGTGAGCTGCTGCCTGCCCCCTCCCCCTCCCCCCCCCAACCCCTCACAGGCGACATACCACAACATGGGTGCCCAGCCCCAGAGAGGCCACACACACCCGCTCTGCCTGCATGCCACCGACCGACCAACTGTCTGTCCTGCGACAGTGAGAGAAGTGGCCGTGGCTATGGCTGCAACTGCGGCCGTGGCCGAGGCGATGCGGGTGCGGGTGGCAGTGACCGAGCCAGACAGGCAGCCGAGGGAGGACGGCGGGGAGGGGGGAGAGGGGGGGAGGGGGGAGAGGGGGGGAGGGGGGAGGGGGGAGGGGAGGGGGGAGGGGGAGGAGATGGCTAAGGCTAAGGAGGTT